ATATATACATATATATATGTATATATATATATATAGATGTATGTGTGTATATATGTATGTGATATATATGTATATATAAATTTGAAATCTTCCTGTTCAAAATTACTTCCTCATATTCTTTCTACCAATTGTCGCTCTCGGAGATGACTCACTTTTATTTCTTCTACATCTATCACAGGCAGGAGAAAAGGGTGCAAACAGTCCTATCATCGAGCCAATGGATCCGTCCCAATCTGAATTGTTTGCTGGTATTGACCTCAGAAATCTGAGGAAGGTCTTTCAACGGGGCAAGAAAAAAGCAGTCAACAGTCTCTCCTTCAAAGCATATGAAGGCCAGATCACGTCATTCCTGGTAAGTATACATATGTATATATATATATAACATTTAACACACATATATTTATATATATATATGTATATATGTATATATATATATATATATATACATCTATGTGTTTAGATACACTTGGCATACATGTATATATTTACTTGTATATATACACTATGCACACCTGTATATATCTACCTGTATACATGCACCAGACCTAATGAAAGGACAGATAGACACACCTGTTGGCTGGGTATGCCCCAATATCCACCAAAGTCACACACACGTATTTGATGTATCTAAAATGTCTAAGCGTTTAAATTTCATGCTGTGTGATTGGTTCACGGGAGGTACACCTGATAGCCAATGTCAATCATTAATAATTGTGTTGTTAATCAATAACTGTGTTGTTAATTAATAACTGTACTATTAGTTAATAACTGTGTTCTTAATTAATAACTGTATTATTAATTAACAACTGTATCATTAATCAATATCTGTGTTGTTAATTACTAACTGTATATTCAATTAACAATTGTATTATCAATTAATAATATCTGTGTTAATAGAACAACTGTATTATTAACTAATAAGTGTGTCGTTAATGTTTTCAATTAATAACTGTATTTATTATTAACTAACTAACAACTGTATTATTAATTATCAACTGTGTTGTTACTTATAACAGGGACACAACGGTGCGGGGAAGACCACCACGATGTCCATGCTGTCTGGTCTGTTCCCGCCATCCGGTGGAAACGCGTATGTGAATGGCTACAGCATCACAACACAGATGCCCAAAGTATGTCGTACTGTCATTGCTCTGTGTGTGTTTGCATCTGAGTCTGTTGCAAGTTTTACCGCAGACATTGTGCCTGAGGCAAAGTGCGAGTGGACTGGTTGTAACACAGAGAAGGCCGTGCATGGGTTTGCAGAAGTTCGGTACCTACTACCAATTAGCTTTGGTGCTCACCATACCTACTTGAACTTTGCTGTATATGCTGGACATTGGCAGGGCTAGTTATCTCTGTAAACCTTGTTGGTACACTTAACCCAGGTGTATCGAACAGCTGTAGTGTGCGCAATTCCTGCACTGTGGTTTCTCGTTCCTTCATATATATATATTTTTTCTCTTGTTGTAGGTGCGGAAAAACCTGGGTTTATGTCCCCAGTTTGACATCCTGTAC